CTAACTATAACTAAAAGTGAATTACTTATTTTACGTAAATAATAATAAATTTAATCGGGTACATACATTTATTTATTATTATTTGATAAGTATATTATATAAAATCACAGAAGTCATTTCAATACATGCATAAATTACAATTCCTAAAAATAAATAATAATAACTAACAATAAAGAAAATTTAAATTATTCTACAATAATTTCTAACAAAATTTAATCGGATATTTGTTGCGATAAATCTTCAGCAATTTTTTCAAAATTTGGTTCCCACGTTGTTAAATAGAGATTATAATTGTGTACCGACCTCGAAAGTAGTGGCTGCGAATTTATAACGTGCGGAACAATACACGAATCTTTCAATTTTTGTAACGAACGTAACATATAAATTTGCTAAATATCAAGTAATGCACGCATGCAAGTGACACGCATTGCACGGTGGGGATACGATTCGGGCCTCGCTATTCCTAATACCAGTAGTCCAGTAAAAACACGAAAAGCTCCAATCTTATCTAGAAATAATTAATGCTCGGTTAAACCGTAACTTTACTAGACTACATGTTCACTCGGCACTAACGGCATAAATAGACGGGCAAATCGAGTAGATAAACGAGTTGTTTAGACCAGTGTTTTTCAATCTTTTTGAATACACGACCCCTTTACAAGTTAAAAATTTTTGGCGACCCCCTAGGGCCATATTAAAACTATATCAGTGACTTTAAAAATTATGTATTTAATTTTCTTTCTGTTGAGAGAAATTATTGTTGATTAAAATGAGAATTTAAGAATAATCTACAATAACTTAAGACACGTATAGTATGAAACTTCCTTTTCATTATAACATTGGGCTCTGGGTGCTGTTGATCTGTTTTTAGGATGAGCGTTCTGAACTTCTACTTTTCTACTTATTACTTCTTTTTACAAGTCATCTCAACACTTTTTCGGCTATCATTTTCTGGGGTGGGCGTACCCACCCAGGCCCCACCCTGGCGACACCCATCGTTCAGACCTAAATGCCGATCAAAAAACCAATTGTACTGTATAATAAACAGGTACAGCCTTCTCGCTAAAATTGTAGTTTTTTTAATGTAGTGCAGGACCTACAAAGACTTGTCTTTTTATTTTACCCGCGACCTCCCATGTAAGGCTTCACGACCCCCTTGGGGGTCGCGACCAACAGGTTGAAAAACACTGGTTTAGACTGTTAAAAGGGAAATCGGTGTTCACACTGGGATATTTTAAAGAAAGTTTTTGTCGTTTCTTGTTTCTTGTGTTAATAATTTACAGCGAATTGATTAACATACGCCATTTTATAATGAAAGTTAGATGTACCCCCTTCGATTTACTCTCGTACCCCTAGGGGTACATGTACCCCCGGTTGAGAACCACTGACTTACATGCTACTGCGAGTTTAGGCGGGTAAGTTGAGTTTACTATCATCTGTACAGTATATAGGCCTAAATTAGGTACTGTAAGTCTAATACACTACTGTAATTTTATACATTTCTTGTGAAAAAAACATTTCTTATTCAACGACCATAAAAATTATTTCTATTAATGATGTCTCCAAAGTTCAACAAATTTTTTGCAGGAAAATAACTTATCAGAAACGCGCCCGCTGTTTGGTGCACTGCTCCGCAACGAAAACAAGCTTAATTATTTAAGCAATGGCGTCGTCAAATGGTGCACACTCGATAAGTAATCCTACAATTTTTTGTTTATAACATAGTTTATACTAGGGATTGTATACCGGTTTACCAATTTACCGGTTAACCGATAAATTGACAAAAAAA